TCACTTCCAAGTATGTTTTATTATCACTTACCTCCCTGAACGTTGGTACTCCAATATAGGATATTTATAATAGTTACCAACTGACCTACAAGTATCTTCTTGAATGGCCTGCTCATTCTCTTTTTCTTTTTAAAAAGTTTTATTGGCACTTTATCCACATGTCATATAATTCAATCATATCAAGAAGTATACAGTTATCACCACATTCAATTCTAGAACATTTTCTTCTTCCTTATGCTCATTGTTATTCATGTTATTCTAATTGTGGCAACAAATATACACAACAAAATATTCTCCATTTCACAATGTACACATGTATCATTCGGTGCCTGGCTTGCTAATTCTCTGGCTTGCTTCATTATCCTTTCTGTGAAGAATGCCCTCAAGAGACATTTGCTTATGGGATCCAAGCGCCAACCAAGCCAGAAGCAAACTCACTGCCACTGAGTCCATGCCCACTCATAGAACAGCCCCCGTGAGTTTCCAAGACTGTAATTCTCTGCAGGAATAAAATCCCATCTTTCTCCTGCAGAGTAGCCCATGGTTTCAAACTGCTGACCCTATAGTTAGCAGCCCAACACATAACCACTCTGCCACCGGGGCTCCTACAAACAGACAACTCCAAAGATGAGGGCAGAACTGTGGGGGCCGGTGAGGCTACATTCCTGGAGGAGGAACAACGTAGAAAAGTTGGTGAGGACGGTTGCCCAACCTGAAGAAAGCCTTGATACAGGTGGTAACTGCGAGAGTATGCTTTGCTGTACATATTCTCAGTAACAACAATAACAAATGAAATACATTATTATTTTTTAAAAGATGCATTTGCTGAGTAAACGGTCAACATCCATACCTTCCCTTGTCCAGGGCCAGGAATAGAAGGAACTGTGTACATTCTTACTGTTCTACTGATACACCAGCAACTAACCACCACCACCACCACCACAGTTCAAAGCTGCTGAGTGTTCTCTGTTTCATAAATCAAGAGCATGGACAAGCTTTTTCCTCTGCAAAAACCAAGGACCAGTCCATGAGAGACTGCGTGCCCCGAGCTGGGAGATGGTGAAGAGAATCTAGGTCAGTGGTTCTCAACCTGTGGGTTACAACCCCTTTGGGGGTCAAATGACCCTTTCACAGGAGTTGCCAGATTCAGAACAGTAGCAAGATGACAGTGATGAAGTAGCAACGAAAATAATGTTATGGTTGGGGGTCACCGCCACATGAGGAACTGTATGAAAGGGTCGTGGCATTAGGAAGGTTGAGAACCACTGATTTAGATTGTGGACAGCCCATCCTTCCATTGCTTACCATTGATACGTGTCTTAGTTGTCTAGTGCACTGTGATAGATACCACGAAGGCAGGATTCGAACAGAAAGACATGCATGCTCTCAACTGCGGTGGCTGGCCGTCCAGATTTAGCACTCCAGCTTTAGGGAAAAGCTTGCTTTATTGTTGGTTCTGGGGGAAGAGTCTTGGCTCCTTTCCACATTGGTGACCCACTGTTCCTTGGAGGTAAAGGTAGTTCTGGGTGCAGGGACCTGGATCTAGAGGACACACTCCATTCCCAGCTCTCCTTCCTTGGCGGTACCCTCTGATCCCTGCTCATTGTTTAATCCGTTTTATACCTCAAAAGAGATGAAGTCAAGACACAACCTTATCTTGTAGATTGTACCCTGTCTCATTAGCATTCTAGAGGTTACGATAATGACATCAGATAACAAAATGAAGGGTAATTACGTAACAGTGAGAAGGATGTCGTAGCCAAGTTGACACATTTTAGGGGAACACAAATCAATCCATGATGCAGTCTAATACTGAAAACTAATAAGCAGCACACCAATCCCTAAATGGCTTCTGCTCTGCCCCGCCTATATTTACTCTGCCCCCCTTCTGTACCTCACACTGGTCAATGAGAAGTTCATGAACTAAGAAAGTCAACCAAGCCCTAAACCAACAACTGCTCTAAATATTGACAAGACCGGCTGGCCACAGACATTTCACAATGAATGATGGGGGAAATCCGGACCTATTTGCAGCAAACTGCACTAAATTCAAATGTATCCCACCCTACCATGACAAGCAGCTGAGCCATTAAAATTAGAAATTGCCACTTAGACTAATGTGTTTGATTTTTTTTTGGCCTGATACCTTCTGGAGCTGTTCATCTCTCGGCCAGCAGTGCCACTGATAGGTGATATCTTGGTTTTGTCCTGGGCTGGACTATGAGCAATGAGGCCCATTCTAAAGCTTTGCATGGCTGGTCTCAGGACACAGCTGTCACATTATTTTAATTATTTTTTAAAATAATACCCTGTGCACGCTGGGCCAAGTGATGTGATGCGTTTCCTTCAGGATGAAACGGACATAGAGATGTAGACTTTCCGTCTAGTTTCCAAAGGAACTTTGGCTGACGGCTTCAGGGCTACACCTCTGAGGAAAGCTTCCTGAGAAAGCTGAGGTCGAGACTAGGAGACTCCAGTTTCAGTGTGGCTGAACCCTATAGAGTTTATACGTGCAGACTCAGAATCGAGGTGTGGGATTCCTGCCCCAGGGTCGAGGAGCAGAGCCAGCCCGTCTGCTGTTTGCTGTAAGGCAAGATGCACGGAGAGCGTAAAACTTGAGAGAAAAAGTTCTGACAGCACCCCGGTTCCTTTCTGAGGCTTGATGACCTTTTCTGGGTTCCACAGAACACCTCTTTTTCTCCCAGTGAAAACCCTACTTTTTTTTTATTAAGTCAGCAAGAATCATTTTATATTACCGCAGTGAATGAATATATGGGTCACTAATGGGGTACACATAAATTGCCACAGGAATTTGAGAAAAGAGAACTTACCAACACAGTTGGTTAGTGCCAAAGCCAAGTTAGAGTAGAGGCCTCTAGGTTTGCAATTTGATGATTTTCCCATTTGCGTGCTATCGTAGCTTTTTAGAGCTTCGAGTTTGTCCACAGAAGAAAGGCTGGTGCTATAACATTTTCAAGAAAAACTGGAATTAATAGACATCAGTGGTGTGCTGGTCAATGGTTAACAACTGACTTGGGAGGCTGTACACCCCTCTGTAGCATTAGACGCAAGGGTGATAAGACTTCGCAACAAAACAACAAAAAACAATGACAAAGAAAAGAAAAACCTGAAAATAGTTCAAGGTCTGTTTGTTGACCTTTAGAAGTGTTTTCTGGTCAAGTCTGATGGAGTGCCACGCCCTGGCCCCCGAAGTCTATTTTTGGTACTCCCTCGGGACTTCCTTGCTCAAAGAGTTACAGTCTTGGGGATCCCACCAGTCTCTATCAGACCAGTAAACCTGGCCTTTTAAAAATGAGTTTTTATTTTGCTTTACATTTTTCTTCCATTCTCTCCGGGACCATCTGTGGTCCCTGTTAGAGCAGTTGGTAGAAGCACCCCCGCACATTTAGGTCTTCTGGGCGTTGGGAACTGGATGTTGTGTTTTGTGTTGTCTATTAGATTGTGCTGATTCTCCCTCATTATAGGTTGCCTTTCTCTTCACCCAACGATTTAAATGTTTTAACAGTTTAATTGAAATATAATTCACATGTCATACAATAGTTTAAAGATACTAAAAAAGAGTTATGCAATCATCACCACAATCAATTTTATCACCCAAGTGATTTAGTTAGTGATTTTTCCTCTCCTTTCTTTCTAACCCTGGGAACCATCAAAGAACGCGTCTTCTGAGGGTTAAACTTCTCTGGATTCTTTGTAGACGTGGTCTCCTACAATCTTGGTCCTTTGATGCTGGACTTACTTCATGCAGCATCAGTTCCTGCAGGTTCAGTCTAGCCATGCCACGTTTCCCAGATTTGGTGCTAATGGCGTTAGCAATGCACAGTATTTCACGGTGTGCACGGGCCCTCGTGTCTTTCCACTTGTTCATTGATGTCCGCTTAGGTTGTGTCCATCTTTTTGCTGCTGTGGACAACACACGATGGACAGGAGTGGGCATAGCTCTCTGAGCCCATCCCCTCTTTCTTCAGGACATAACCTAGCAGTGAGATTGCTGGATCACTACCTGTTCTTCCTGCCACATCACCGCTTTGGGTGGCTGCTACTTTGAACTCAGAACCTCCATGGTCCTTGTGGCAGTGGTGCCAGTTCTTACTCACCTTTATTCCTGAGCAAGTGATGCCCCACCCCGCTGCTCCTGTTCTCAGCCATCTCCTCTGGGATGTCAGGTCAGTAGCTGCGTCCCGCACATACCAATTGGAACTCATTAATTTCTGCCTGAACTTGCTCTTCCCCCTACTCTCTACCTATTGTGTACCCTAACCACAAAGAACGATTTGTTTCCTATCTCATTTAATACCCACCACTTCACTCTGTTTACTAAGTGTGAAATCTCCGTGCCATGGTTCTTAACCATGGCGATGTTTTGAGAAAATACCCCCACCAGGAGCAGCAGTTCAGATGCAATTGGTCTGAGGTCTGAGTTGAGTGTTGGGCTTTTAAGATTCCCAGGTGACTCGAATGTACAGCCCAAAGTTGTATACCGCAGCCTTGGTTCCCTTCCCTGCTCCCTCTAGCTTTCATTATATTTAATTAGCTGCCAAGACCAATGATTCTGCCACCCAAATGCCTCCCAAATCTCCATTTCTATTCTCCTTTCTGTCTGAGGTCCCCTTGGCTAGTCTCCCCACAGCCGCTCCCTCCCTCACTAGTACGCCTTTCTCTCCATTGCCAGAGTGGTCTTTCCAAAACACAGGCCTGATCATGTCTTTCACTCCCTGAAACGTCATTGTTGCGGTAAACATTAGCTCCACAATATCCAGATGCAAGAAACAGCACATCTCACCTTTCTACATAAAACTAAATTGGTTTTGACCTCCCTTTCACTAGGAGAATGGTTTATTATTGAGGATTTTCCTTCTTAGAACTTACAGGTATCCTAGGGCAGTTTAAAAAGCCAGAACATTTGAGGCAAGACCTTCTGAGCTTCAGTCCGCCCTGGTCACTGCCGAGATACTCTGTCCAATTGGCAAGGCAGCTCCGCTCCCTCTGACTCACCTGGACACAGGGCTCTTTGACCTAGACTTCCACAATGTCATGATGTCTGGGTTCAGCTTCTCGGGACCCACCACACAGCCAGTCTCAATCTGGAGTATCCTGTGTCCAGAAGCACTTTGACCAGGGGTTCCCAAGTCCTCTCGGGGTGTGGGGGTGGGAGAAGACAGTCCCCCCCCTTTTCTTGGGGAAACTGACTCTGTCTCTTCAAACCTGGGAGCTTCCCATCTTCCAGAGGAACTTATTTCATATTTAAACATGAGGCTGTGGTGGCCACCTCACCTGGAAGGTGGCAACAATTCTCTGGGGCATGAACTGCTGGTCCACTTAGCTATGACTCTCCCTTTTCCAAGATTTTGTTGAGGGCCAATCCACTCTTATCAACACATTCCTCCATCGCTTACCTGGTGGAGTTGCAAAAGGAAGAAAGGAGTAGAGCTGTCAATGATTAAACAACCTAGCTGCTGGTTGATCGAGCACGTTCAGGATCCAACATCAACCAGAGAAGAGTGCCTGGGGGCTGGGGCTTTTCTTCTTTATCACCTGGCCCCTAGACAGACGTCACGGGACGTCATGAGCTACTTGAGGTTCTCCAGCCTTGCAACCTCTTGTCCTTTACAACTTTGTTCACGTAGATCCCTCTGCCTGTGATATTGCCGGCCCCCAACCCTCCCACCCCACCTTTCCCTCTCTCTACCTGGTGAACCCTTGGTCTTCCTTTAACATCCACTTAACTGTCACCTTCTCTAAAAACCTTTCCAAATCAACTCCCGAAAGAGTTAATTCACACCTCTCATCTAGGCCTTACCAGGCGAACTTGGGACACGTTATCAGGAGAGGCCAGTCCCTGGAGAAGGACATCATGCTTAGTAAAGTGGAGGGGCAGCCAAACAGAGGAAGGCCCTGGACAAGATGGACTGACACAGCGGCTGCCACATGGGTTCAAACATATGAACAGCTGTGCAGCTGTGCGGATGGCCCAGGACTGGGCAGTGCTTCGTCCTGATGTACACAGGGTCGCTAGAGTTGGGACCAATGGAGGCACCTAACAATAACAATAACGACAGCAGCATGTTAATTATCACTAATTTCATACGTTTGTTTCATCCCCACACACATCCATCCCTACCTTACCGGTCAATTCCTTACCGGTAGGATTGTGGTTTCTAAGAACATCTTTGTCTCTTCAACATGCCTAAAGAAGACTTTTGACTTTTCACATTTTTTAGGCGGATTCCTAGAATTTTAGAGCTGAAGGGACCTCGACGGGCAGGAGGGGACAGTCTGCTTCAGTACTGAGCCAAGCCTCGGAAACCCGGGCCGCCTGCTCCTCGGTCCTACAGGGTTACTGCTGGACAACAGTGCATTTTATTTTGAATTTAAAGAGCTCTTGAAGGCCACCGAATCCAGGGGTTGCCTAACTGTGTTTTAGTTCTGCAATTCCTTTATGGTTAAGCAAAATTGTACATGGAAATCCAGTATTTTAACAGGTGAGAACAGGGAAACTCTCGTTAAAGCAGAGGAAGCAAGATGCTGAGAGAGGCCCGTGGCTCCCCCACCATCAATCCAACTGTAAAAGCCCACAGGTTGTTTTGCAGGTGAAGTAATCAAGGCCTGGGAACATAGACCCCTCACATAAATCTACCCCATCTCACCCCTTCAGAAAGCTGTCGCTTTATCGTTTCCAGTTATATGCCAGGGACCATCACAGATGCACAAAAAGAATCAACATTCCATTCTTTCAAGACTCCGAGAGCAATGGTTTCCTCTGCCTTGTACTGTAGAGCCTATGAACCGATTCTTCAAGGGAGGGGCTTACAGGCAAGTGTTTACTCTGTCGGGATTGTCGAAACATGCATAGCAATTATCAGGATTTTTTTTTAATTGCTTAACACCACCACCCCCCCAATAATACTGTGTGGGTGTGTGTGAACTTAAATGGCTTGAGCCAGTGCCACATGGCTCTGCCGGTGACCTCAGTGAGCAATTCCATGGTCAAGATTGACAGAAGGGGTCTCTTCTCTCTTATTACAAGGTCCAGTTTAATAAAAAAAAAGGAAGAAATGCCGAGAAGCCAACTACAAGGCGTCCTTCCCTTAAAAGGGTACAGGGCCTTGGGATGCCAGGCCCTTTCAGGGTCGGGCCTGGGGCTTCTAGTACCTGCTTCCTTGCTGAGATACATGGGGGTGGTGGGTAGGGTGTAGTCTGGTCTACTCCCCAAAGGGTCTCGTCATTAAGTGGAAATCAGCTTTATGCAAACATAGAGCATGACCACATCACCTCATACCCCAGCTTATGCTATGGAGCCTGCTAGGCCCCTACTGATACCTCCTCCCCATCCTCTCAGGATAGCAGCTCCCACCTCCGGAAGCTAGGGTGGCCAAACGCAGCCATGCTCCCCATTCCCAGAGCCCTTCCCCCACTCTCTTGAGCTCACGATACTTTCAGGATCGGGGGCCTTGGATCAGCCCCTCAATGACCCCAAAATGTCCTTGGTGATTGCTGCAGTGAGGTGCAAGTTCCCCTCTGGTCTCCGTGCCTGCCCCTGGCCAGAACATTTCCTGCCTTAGCTGAGCAGCCCCTTCTTGCCTCCCCATGTATGTGCCCATGAGAATCTACAATCACAAACTTCCTCCTAGACCCCGAAGGCAGTTTCAGCCTCTGCCCTTGACCTTAAACTGCAGCTGCCACTTGGTCATTCACCTGCTGACCCCACCTCTGCCCAGGTAGCCTTCCCCGTCCTCAGTTATGCCCACCCAGGAGGGGGCCTAAGTGTAAGAGGCTGCACAGGTGTCTGCCATCTGACATGGCAGTCTATGGATCAGGGTACCTGAGTACCCCATCTCAGCACTCCTAATCACAGCTCATCCTGTCCCTGCTGCCCCTGGGGGCTGGGAGCTGGGACCAGACCTGGGGGTCCGACTTCCTCTTCTACCTTGAGGGCAGCCCACTTTTAAGACATGAGCTGCTGCTCACCAGCCTCCGTGCGCTGTGGTACACAGGAGCCCTTGGGCACAGTGCCACCCAGCAGGCCTCGGTGCAGTTCTCTGTGAGCTCTGCCAGGGTCTCCGCAGACCACGCCTGCTCTCCCCTCCGAGGTGGTGAAATACTACACAATATGAGCTGCTTTTCTATGGGCATGGGGTCCCCTGGCCAGGGGACCTGTAGGGATCTTGCCTTTCCTTAGTCCCAGACTTATATCCTTATTATGCAAAATAGTCGAACCGTAGGTGTACTACTGCTGTTGTAACTGGGACATGCAGGATGATGAGGCAGTCGATAGGTTAGTAAATGGACACCTTGGGTCCTGGGTTCTTTTAAAGTATGAGGGGGGCCATTGGAAATTCTCAGGATCGGCTCCCAGTTGCCTAGAGAAGTTTTGTGCCGCTTGTGAATTAGGAGGGAACAGTACGTTCTATCCCATGGCTGAGTCATGACCAGTCCTATCATATGACACCTGACTCACATGGCGTCTTGTCTTCTTTCCTGCTGTCACCGCCAAGTCCCCATCTCCTTCGTGGAGACTACAGTTGCCTCTAACACATCTCTCTGTCTGTATTTCAGCCCCTGCAAGCCTCCTTTGTTTGAGACAAACCAAACCCATTCATGGTGAGTCAATCCTAAGTGATGGTCACTTAGTGCATAGCCTGGGGGAAGTCACTTCATGTATTTAACCTTCAGTCCCCAGCCTCCACCCCCACTGCCATCTGCCAAGGAGGCAATCCCAACTCAGAGTGACCCTGTGGGCAGAGTAGAACTAACTGCCTTTTTGGATTTCTGCGAATTGAACCGCTGACCGCGGGCATTCAATCTGCTGCATTCGATTGTTTGGTTGAAGATGTGAAGAAACTCCAGCCTCCCACCGATAGACAAGACAAAAAGCAAACCCAAACCAAACTCACTCATTGATCAAGCGTGACCTGTAGCAATCCTACAGGACAAAGCAGAACTGCTTCTGTGGGTTTCCAAGGTTGTGAATCTTTATGGAAACAACAGCCTCGTTTTTTTCTCACACAGAGCAGCTGGTGGGTTTGAACTACTGACCTTGCAGTACAATTCATAATCCACTAAACCACCAGGAGGAGTATTTGATGGCCTTTTCAGAGAACAGTGGCTATTCCCCTGTGATATGACTTCAAATCTCATCAAGCAACAAGGTCCGTTGCAATGTGAATCGAAACCAGAACCAAGCACTTTCATAGGCAGGAACATTAAAATCCATGCATCTTTCTTACGCTTTGAATGCGTCATTTACGTCCCATGGATGACTTCCATTGGCCATATTAGTTCATTGGAAAATATTAGTTCACCGAGTCTTATAGATTTTTCAAATGTCAACATATTTCTTTGCATAATATTTTTAAAATCAACATTTGTCAGCACCACCACCAATCTCACATGAAAAGTCCCTAAGCACTGCAAAGATGGTCACAGAGGGTTCCCTTCCAAAACCCTAAATTTCCCTTGAAAGCTCAGATTTTATCACTGGCCACAAATACTATTAGATGTTTTCCTCGAAGTGACTGGCCCCCTTTGTTTATACTCAAGAGAATGTGTGCCAAATAGCCACACTTCCTCTGTCAGTCTTGCCTTCTTTCAGTGGTCCAGGGAAAAAGCAAGGGTCCTGATTGTAATGCAAACAATTGAGTCAGTGCTTCTCTTGGAGTCAGTCATTCTTTTTCGGGGTCTAGGGGAAGGGCTTTGGCTCTCCTTTCCGTTTCACCACACAGAATAGTGTTAACCAGGCGTGCACTCAAGATTAATGAGAGTCACACTCGTGATGGCTTCAGCAAGGATATTCCTGGTGAATCGAGCGTTTTCTCTGGCTTTTCTTTTGCTTCTTTAATACTGAGATTGTGTGTGATGATGAAGAAAACATCTTCTAATATAGCCTGAAGCCACTGCCGGGATTCATCCAGCCTAAGGCATCAGCAATGGTACCAATCGTCGCTTTTGCACCACCAATCTGGGAGGAAAAGGTAAAAATGCTTGGTATTATTATTAACATCGCTTTTCTTGTTTTACCTTCACAGATCTCCTGGGATGGGCTTGGGCAACCCCTGGGGTCTACAAACCACACTTTTGGT